TTAAGGTATTGTGGCGTAATCATCTAGTTGAAGAGGCGACTTGGGAGTGCGAGGACGAGATGCGCGAGAAGTACCCACATCTATTTTCATGATTTACTCAGGTTAGTTTCGAGGATGAAACTTTTCTTTTAGGGGGAGGGAGGGGAGAATGTGAGAACACGAATATACAAATCAAGTAAATAATTAAATAATAATAATTTCACAATCTCAAATATTTTGATGGTAAATCTTAAAGTGCAAATTAAATATTTGGAGGGTCTTTTAATTAATTTTAAAACCTGAAATAAATTTATGGTGGAAGTCTTTAATTTAGAGTTTAGATTTATTGTTAAGAAATAGTAATAATAATAATAATAGGCAACAAATTATTAAGTATATTTTGATCTAATAGTTATATTTAATTTAATTGGTGGAAAGATTAAAAAAAAAAGAATAAAATATAATAAAGAAACGTGGGAGTAGATGTTTGTGAGGAAGCTTAGGGTTTTATGTCCACTCTATCATATCATAGGTCTCCATAACTAAGAGGGATTGAAAGAGAAGAAAGAAAAAAAAAGTTGCAATCAAAGAAGAACTTTTGGGTGTGTAGTAGGGTTCTAGCTTTTTTCTTTATTTTATTTTTGTTCTTTATCCTTATTCTATTCTATGATTTAGTTCATTGATGGAGAGGTTGTAGGTGTACGTATTTTATGTATATATATACTATTAAGAAATCTGAGGAGTTAAATTCATGTATAAAGAATGGGTGTAATTCTTAATCCAAAAATTCTGTACAGAATCACAAACTTTAGAAATCAAGAAAGCATATCAAATGGATAAATTTTGAACTGAAATTTTTACAGTAGATTAATTTTTGGGATGACGGACATGGTTAGTAGAGGCCGGTCTTCGGACCGGGCGAAAGGGGGTGCTCATAGCCGACCTTCCCCGATCGTACCCAAGCTCCCGAGCCGAGACAACTCTGGTGATGACGGACATGTGGCCTTCGGCACCGAGTCAGGGTTTCCTAAATTTCCCCATAAAAAATATTTAGGTGGCGACTCTGTATCTGGCAAAGCAGTCCATGTTTGGCACTACTTTTTCAAAAATATGTTTCTCAAAACGATTTTCCAGTTTTGGACTCTTTCGTTCAGATTAAGAACCGCAATAACAAAATCGAGAGTCCGAACTGTAGTAGCAAAGCCCGCCCACGCGGGCGCGTCTACAGTGTGCATCGAAATGGACCTGTGAAAGCCCCTTGTGTCTCAATTTGCTATTAGTAAGAATATATATTTAGTGGAATATGAACATCTTCATTCTGTGTGTTTTTCCTGTGGTAGGGTAAGACATGTGAAGAAATAGCTCACCGAAGGGGGAAACTAGATCGAAGAAACAACAGGGGCTAATGGGCTGGGTTGTAGCAGAGTAAAGGATGTAGGTAAGACAAGCCAAGTTAGATATGGGCCATGGATAAAAGTCACAAATCAAAAAAAAAAACTACTAAAGACCCAAGGCTACAAAGAGGAACTACACACCAACAGGGGAATAGATTCAAAAGCCTACAAGAGGAAAAAGAGCAGGTTGGGGCCCATAAGGCCCAACCAAGGAAAGACAAAGAACCAATGCACTTAGTCTCTCAGGAGTTGGGGTTCAAGTACAAGGTAAAGACTAACGGCATAGATGTTAGCAGAAAAGGAGGAGGGAACCAGCTGGAAATAGCTTAGGGAAAGCACAGAGATGAAACCAGAAAAGAAAAAGAAAAAGGGGTCAAAGAGGCTAGCACACATAGCCTTGAGGCTAAGGAGAGTAATAAAGCTGATACACCAATGCTTCCCTCTAGTCATTGTCCCGCAGCTACTACTTCTACTAACCCCTCACATAGCCACCCTACCAACCACTCACATATACACCCTCACAACCCCTCACACACCACCCATGTTATGTCTTCCATAACCCCCCTCAGTAGGGAAAAAAAAGCTAGACCCAAGTTTAGAGAGCCACCAGACAAAAGTTGAGGAAAAAAAGGGCAAGAAATATCCAATGGAGGATCTCATATTGAATCAGCACAGAGTTCTGCTGATACTAACCCTAGAGAGAGAAGTGTTTCACCTCATCACCTCAGAATAGTGGATGGAGGAAGTAAGCATGAGGATCCAACCATGGAGGCAGATAGAAGCACGTCAGGAGAGACATTATGTCTCAATAACTCCCTCATGGTCCATGGAAGTTAATCATAGTAGAGCAAGGGGATTTCTGGACTTTCCAGCCCAGTCCCCTCTTCCCCAACTCAATCAGTGAAGTATGGATTTCTTGATTTGGAATTGCAGAGGAGTAGGTAACAAACGTTTTAAGAGGAATATGAGAGAATTAGTTCGGATTCACAAGCCGGATTTTTTAGTTCTTATGGAGACCAAAGTGGAGTTTAGTTCTATGGGCATGTTCTTCAATAGAATGGGGTTTACCACTTCAGCGCATGTGGACCCTATTAGCGGGAGTGGACGAATCTCGATGGTTTGGAACCCCAGTGTTGTGCATGTTCAAGACACTGAAGCAAGTTCTCAACTAATAACTGCTAGAGTCTCTAGGCAACATTACTGTGACTGGATATTGTCAGTTGTCTATGCAAGCCCTAACACCAACAAGAGGGCTGAACTGTGGCAAACTCTTGAAGATACTGCTCAATCCATGTCTGAGCCTTGGCTTGTAGCTAGGGATTTCAATGATTTACTACTCAAATAGAGAACAGAAACTTGTTGGAGGGTCAAAACCAAAGGCAGAGCCAGGACTGGAGAAGAACTAAAAAATTCTTGGATAAAATGAACAATTGCACTTGATGGATTTGGGATGTACTGGGCCTAGGTTAACTTGAACAAACAACAGGAAATGGTGAGAAAATACCATGGTAAGGTTAGATAGAGCTATGTGCAATACAGAATGGAGGTCTACCTTTCCTGAAGGACTGGTTTAAAATCTTCCTCGTACCTACTCTGATCATTCACCTCTGATGATTTTCACCCAAGGTAAGGCTTCCCCTTCTCCTAGAGGTAACTCTTTTAAATTTATGGCTGCTTGGATTTCTTATATTGACTTTCAATCTGTGGTGGAGAGCAATTGGGTTAACTCACTTCCCTCTCTTATGGATAAATTGGAGAAACTAGCTTGTAAGGCTAGTGAGTGGAATAAAGATAAGTTTGGAAATATTTTCAGAAATAAGAGGTGGTTGCTAGGGAGGATTGAAGGTATTCAGAAACCCAAAAATTATAATTATTCCAACAACCTCCACCTCCTGGAAATGGATCTCATTGAGCAGTACAATAAAATCCTCTATCAAGAGGAGCCATTGTGGTTTCAAAAATCTAGATCCAACTGGATTACCCAGGGGGATAGAAACACCAAGTTCTTCCACCTTTCCACCTTGACCAAAAGGAGGAAATGTAAAATTAAGACTCTCAAGAATGAGAGTGGTATTTGGATTAATAACATTGTTGCTTTGAAATCCATGATTTTTGATTATTTTGTGGAACACTTTCAGAGTACTCCAACTATCCAACTGGATCATTGGAATAACCTCACTCTTGATGTGATTAGGCAGGAGGATAATGATGAGTTGTCTAGGGAGATCACTAGGAATGAAATATGGAGGGCTGTGAAAAACATTAAGGCCTTCAAAGCCCCTAGCCGAGATGGTTTCCAAGCTATTTTCTATCATAACTATTGGGAGACTGTTGGTCCCACTGTGTGTGAGTTTGTCAAAAACTACATTGCTACCAGCTCCATACCCCATCAAATCAATAGAACTCTCATTGCTCTTATTCCCAAAATTGAGAACCCTGAGACTATCAAATAGTTCCGCCCCATAAGCCTCTGTAATGTGTCCTATAAAATTATTTCCAAAATCCTTGTTGGGTGAATTAAACCACTTTTGAATAAAATTGTTAGCCCTAACTAGTGTAGTTTTGTTCCTGTAGATCCACGAGTGACAATATCATTATAACCCAAGAGACCATTCATACCTTAAAACATAAAAAAGAGAAACTCTGGGGAATGATACTTAAGATTGATTTGGAAAAAGCTAATGATAACATATCTTGGGACTTCTTTGAACATACTTTAAGGTAGTTAAAGTTCCAGAATAGTTTCATTGAGCTTGTGATGTGTTGTGTCACTTCTGTTACTACTGTTGTATTATGGAATGGTAAACCCTTGCCAGATTTTAAACCTGCAAGGGAGCTGAGACAGGGTGACCCCCTCTGCCCCTATTTATTTGTGTTGTGTATGGAAAGGCTATCTAATATGATCAGATCGAAGGCCGAGAATAAGGTGTGGAAAGGGGTTCAAGTTACTAAGGGTGGACCATGCTTGACACACTTATTCTTTGCTGATGATCTGATGTTTTTTGCTAAAGCTGATATGAATAATTGTGATACAATTATGAATGTCATGAATGAGTTTTGTGACATCTCTGGTTTGAAAGTCAATGTCCATAAATCCAAATTGTATGTTTCCCTTAACATTAATAGAAGGAATGCTAGAGAGATGAGTTTCAAATGTGGCATTCCTTTGACTGATGATTTGGGGAAATATCTTAGAGTTACCCTTATTCATGGTAGAGTGAATAGAGGGCACTTCAACACAATTTTGTAAAAAATGCAAAAGCGGCTAGCTGGTTGGAAAGCTAGTGTGCTATCGTTAGCAGGTAGAACAACACTCATTCAATCTGTTAGTTCTGCTTTGCCTGCATACATAATGCAGACTATGAATGTGCCCATTAAAGTGTGTAATGACATTGACAGACTCAACAGGAATTTTGTGTGAGGTGACACCCTGGAAAAAAGGAAAATGCATTTAGTCAAATGGGAACATGTTTACCATTTTTGAAAAAACTAGGTGGACTTGGGATTAGAAAAACCAGAAATCAGAACTTAGCTCTACTTACTAAGTTAAGTTGGAAACTGATTTGTGAAGAAGGTGCCTTGTGGAAAGATGTCCTTAAGAATAAGGGTATGTTTGGTTTGGATTTCTAGATTGATTTTGGGAAAAAAAAAATTAGAAAATTTGTTTGGTTTGTAAATTTTCCAAAACAATTTTCAAAATCACTTCCTCTCTCTTACCTATCAATCAATCACTTTTTCTCTCACACACATCTACTAAATCATAACAAAATATCAAATCATTCTAAACTCTCAAACTCCAAAACTACTTTCAAAATATACAACCAAACAAACCAAAAAAATTTCTAAACTCTCTCCCCAAAACAATTTTTAAAAACTACTCGCCCAAAAACAAACCAAACAAGCCCTAAATATCTTAAGACAACAAACTTGAATGGTTGGCCGAGAAGTAGGCCTGCTTCTCATGTGTGGAGGGGCATTTGAAAACCATAAACACCTTGAGGAAAGGTGTGAAATGGGAGATTGGTAATGGTAAGAATGTGGATTTGTGGAGGGACTGGTGGTGTGGTGACAAGCCATTTGTTGAGTTTGTTCCTCAGACTCTGCAAAATCAACTTGTTCGTACAGAGATTGTTTCAGTGCACAATCTGGTTAATGAACAAGGAGATTGGGATGTGATGAAAGTTAATGAACTTGCATCTTGTGTTTCATCAGTTATCCTTAATTTACCTCCTCTTAATGCTAATGTTGATTCACCTATTTGGAAAGGTCCAGGTGATGGAAAGTTCTCTACCTCTAATGCCTACAGGATCATTTCTGGTAACTTAAGGCTGGAGGAAGACTGGAGTTGGATGTGGAAATTACGGCTATCACAGAAACTTAAAAGCTTTCTATGGATTGTTATGCATGGTAAAGTCTTAACTAATCAGTTGAGAAAGAAAATGGGTCTGTCTTCAGATCCTAGCTGTCCCATTTGTAATGAGGTGGAAGACATGAACCATCTGTTTTGAACTTGCTACAAAGCTAAAGTTGTTTGGTTAGCTATGTTTGGTAGGCCTTGGTATATTGCCATGATTCAAGAACCTTGGCTGGATTGGCTTATCTCCAATTCTAGAATAAAACTCACTTTAATGCTCAAACCACTTGGTATACTATTTTTGTTGTCTGTCTTCGACAAATATGGAAGAGAGAAATCAAAAAAAAAATTCAACAAATTGTGACTCTTAGCCGTGATAGTGTAAAACTTATTTGGAGCTATGCAAAAGAGATCAACCAAGCCTTTAACATGGCCATTGTTAATGCTAGACCAGCCTTTAATCTGATTAGGTGGTTTCTTCCCCCTGCAGGTACGATTAAATTGAACATGGATGGCAGCAGGAAACTAGGAGGTGATGGTGGCTTTGGAGGATTATTTAGAGACGAAGCGGGAGCATGGTTGTGTGGCTACTATGGTAGAATATCTCATGGCACAAGTCTAGAAAATGAACTTTGGGCCATCTATAAAGGTCTAACAGTTCTGCTACAAAGAGGATAGACCAAAATCATAATTGAGATGCATGCTATGCAAGCAATGAAGCTGTTGGAGGAGGAAACAGAGGCAAACTCGCCATACAAAGGTCTCTTAGAAGATGCCAAGATTATCATAAGAGGCTGTGAATAGTGCAGCATGTATTCAAAGAGGGAAATCTATGTGTTGATGCACTTGCAAAACTTGGAGTTGAACAACCAAAAAATATCCTAGTCGTGAATGAGCCACCGACTGAGATCCGAAGTCTGCTTGTTGCAGATATCGTCGATAGAGCTAGGGAAAGGGCTTAGGCCTTTGTTTTTTGTTTTATTTTCGATGTACCTAAAAAAACAATACTGCATTAATAATTTTAATTCTACATTAAACATCATTGCTAAAAGGATATAGAGGAAATATCATTTTGTCCTCTAAACTTTTACGTATTTTTTAAATTGACATTCAGATTTCAATTAATATTAATTTTACACCCAAACTTTTGAAATTTTGATCAATTTGACCCCTGTCGTCACATTCCGTCTGTAATTGGACGGAATGTACTAATGTGGTACCAAAGTTCATTTGAAATTTTATTTTACCACCCAAATTATACCTTAAAAATTAATTTGCCCCCAAATTAAAAATCAATTTGCCCCTCAAATTATACCTTAAAAATCAATTTACTCTCCACGTCAGCACATTTTATCGAATTATTGACGAAATGGGATGACAGGAATCAAATTGATCAAAATTTTAAAAATTTAGATGTAAAATTGATATTAATCAAAATTTAACAATTACATTAAAAAATTATTATTGTTGGGGTCCACACTGAAATCACACCACATCAACTGTTGAACTCTATTGCCTAGGTCAAGTCATCTGCGTGCTACATTGACCGCTACTTAGATTAAGGGATTGTTTGGGGTGTCCTAAATAAGTTAACTTTTTGTCTTTTTGGACAAAAAAATTTGAGGAAGAAAATATGGATGTTTGGGTTAACTTTTTGACTTTTTATGAAAAAATGTGTAATAAAAAATTGTAAAAATTGATTTCTAGGGAAAATTTAGGATTGGGAGTTGTACAGCCGTAATTGTTGACTTTTGATGAATAGTGTTAACTTTTTAACTTTTTGAGTAACTTTTTGACTTTTTGGCTTTTTTGCAATATGCCAAACTTGGCCTAACAATTTAATTCCTGTTTCAAAAAAAAAAAAAAAAGAAAAAAAAAATGCATCAAATATATTTGATCATATATATTTCTAAGATTTAAGGGACTGAATTTTGTAACATCCCTTATGCTGCATGTATGTAGTTTGATAAATTGTAGTGTTGTTAATGGCTATTAGGCCCCATTTGTTTTAGGGTGTATAGGGTAGGATGAGATTAGGACGGAGGCAGGACCCATTTAGTATTGTGTTTGTTTGTAGAGTTAAGAAAGAGATTAGGATGGAGGAAGAGATTAAGATGGAGGTTGGAAAGAGGATTGGGATGGAGGAGGTGGAGGTGGAGGTGGTATTAGAAAAATAGTGAGGGGATTAGAAATTTTTTTATTTTTTACATGTTGGGCATTTTTTTTTGAACATTAATGTTTAATTTTTTGTATTTTTTTATTTGTTTTATTATTTTATATAAAAATAATTTAACAATTCCTATACTAACAACTATCATCAAAATAAACACAATTTTACTTAATCTTCCCACTATCAATCACTTCCATTCTACCTCTGAAAATAAACGGGGCCTTAATTTTCATATTCACTGGTTGGAATTAAAATATTCTTAATTTTGGGTATTGTTTAATAGTTTGGATCATCGAAATTTATTTTAAATGGGTTTATCAAATTCAAACGTTCTCTTAAATTGAGATCACAACTTAAGGGAAGCCAAATCCTTTTTATTTATCTATTGAAATTATTTTAACCTATCTCTCCATATTTTAACATATCTATCCAAATTATTTTAATTTATTTGTCCTAGTATTTTTATTTATTTCTTCAAATTATTTCAACTTTTTTGTTGCCCTTGTTTGGACAAATAGGTACTTGAAGCTTAAAGTAAAAAACAAATCATTTATGATTTTAAAATTTCAACATGTCATAGTTTTACAAGTCCGTTTTGAATGATATATTTTTTATTTCATAGATTTTTTCAAAGGATTTTGGTTTAAAGTCCTAATATTAAGATTTTATAAGATACAAAACATATAATATTTTCATAATAGTTGAGGTCCCTCAATATTTTAACAGAAAAATTTTAGTATAGGGTTGAAAGTAAAATTTTATAGAGAAATTTCAATTTCACAGAAAAATTTTAGCTTGTAATATTATTAAGGAACCTTAACTAATAAGAAAAAATATATCATATCTCTCTTACTACCAAAAGTTGGAGAGAGATGTTTTATTGATTTATCATTTTTCAAAACCTATCCATCTGAAATTGGTGAAGGCAA